TTTTATTCTACCCCTTAGTTTTTACTTACTAATATAGTTGTTTTTTTTTGTAACCATATTGTGTGATAATGTACACCTAAATTTTAGTCAAATGTGAATGTGGTCGAGCATTTTCGCGCAAAGATAACTTAAAAAGACATCAACGCGTATCGTGTACAACTGGAGCACGTCTGGATCCACCGACCCTAAAAAAGGTTAAAATATCGACCGATGACTCACCGGTGCGAGTACCTACAGTGCATTGCGCACAATGTTCTGAAGATGTGGCAAGATCTGGTTATCAAGGACATTTGCGTAGTAACAGACATAAATCGAATGCTTGTTTAGTGATAGATGACCAAATTGAAATTATTAGATCCTCATTTGAGAAGAAAATAATGAGTTTTAGAATATCACCAGTTGGTAAACATAATGAAGTGAAATCATTTATGGAAGATGTAAAAAACAAAGTATTAAAAGTATGTAACAAACAGTTACAGACGTACCCATCGCTAAAAACCAATTTTGAACTGTTTGGAATGTATTTATTGGAAGAAAAGGTCGAAATTAAATCATTTCAAACCAAATATGCAATTACAACTCTGGGCACTAATTTGGAAGAATACGTGGAACAAGTGGTTGAAATTTTAAGCAGAAAAGAATCGGAATTTCAAGGCCGCGATTCCGGTAAATAATAATTTCAGTAATTTTATTTTACATATTTGTGCATTTCAGGATGGGTGTTAGTAGATTTATTATACTTGGAATGCAACTTCCTACAATTTAATCCGATAAAAGCGTCGTCATATATTGATTTACCTCCTTCTCTTAAAAGAAGAAAGGCTATTATCAACGTTGACAACAACGACCAGATGTGCTTCGGATGGACGCTCGCATCGGCGTTGATTCATCCTACGGGGAAACCGCAACGCAAAGAATCATATCCAGATATTTTAAAAATATTTAATTGGGACGGTATCCAATTTCCAGTACCGTTGTCGTCAATACCCACGTTTGAGGCTAACAACCCTAAAATTTCCGTTAATGTTTATGGGATTGAGTGCGTCTATAAAGATGGAAAGCAAGAGATTCAAGTAATAGGACCGCTGTATTACAGTAAGTCAAAAAAAATTAATCACGTAAACATGTTATTAATTAGTAATAAGGCAGGTAACACTCACTATACATACATAAACAATTTTTCGCGGTTAGTTAGCAAGCAAATAAGTCAACGTAATGGAGCAACGCATTTTTGTGACGGGTGCATTAATTATTTTCGTACTGAACAACAACTAAAAAAACATCAAATGCAAGATTGCAATCACACGTCTACTATACTACCAACCACAACCCTAAAACTTGACAAAACCGGTAATATGCGTCCCGAAAATCTTCTTACCTTTACGAATTTTCAAAAGCAAATGCTACTACCTTTTGTTATTTATGCAGATTTTGAGTCAATTTTACAACCTCTAGATACCGCCGAACCAGACCCCAAAAAATCTTTTACGATAAAAACATGTAAACACACACCGTATTCGTTTTGTTATTATATTAAATCGTCGTATAATGACGAATGGTCACGATTGGAAACGTATCGAGGTGAAAATGCGGCACAAATATTTATTACGCGACTACAAAACGATATTAAAAATATATATCGCGAATATTTGCTAAACGTTCGTCCCATGGAACCTCTTTCAGAAGATGAATTGCGAATGTATGATGAAAGCCGAACATGTTTTATTTGCCAAAACCCGTTTGATAACGATTCCACGAATCCCAAAGTTAAAGATCATTGTCACATTACCGGTAAATATCGCGGCAGCGCGCACGCAACGTGTAATCTAAATTATAAAATTCCAAACTTTATACCGGTCGTGTTCCATAATCTTAGCGGATACGATTCCCATTTGTTCGTTAAAGAGCTAGGAGCAGATACCGAAGACATTGACGTTATTCCTACAAGTACAGAAAAGTACATCACTTTCAGTAAACGGGTTCTAGTAGATGAAGTAGATTTGGAATCGGGTAAAAAGGAACGAAAGTATATGAAATTACGATTTATAGATAGTTTTCGCTTTATGCCTACGTCGTTAGATAAACTATCCACAAATTTAACTTCGGAACAGTGCGCAGAGATAAGAAAATTTTTTAATGATTCTAATAAATTTCAACTTCTCCGAAAGAAAGTTTGCTTTCCTTATTCATATGTAGATTGTATGTCAAAATTAGACGAGAAAGATATACCTTCTCATACAAAATTTTATAACGATATGACCCAAGAACATATATCACGCGATGAATACGAGAGGGTGGTACGCATCTGGAACGTATTTAATTGTAAGACATTAGGGGATTATTCGGACCTTTATCTCAAAACGGACGTATTACTTTTAGCGGATGTGTTTCAAAATTTTAGATCTCTATGTATGAACGTGTACGGAGTAGATGCCGCTCATTACGTAACTACCCCAGGATTAACTTGGGATGCTATGCTAAAATTTACACGAGTAAAATTAGAATTACTGACGGACATGGACATGTACCACATGATTAAAAAGGGAATTCGTGGTGGTGTTAGCACTTGTATTAAAAGAAAGTCGTGCGCTAATAATGAGTTTGTGCCTGGTTATGATTCTAATCAGGCCAAGGTCTTTATTCAGTACTTAGATGCGACGAACTTATATGGAAATTCAATGCGAGAATATCTACCAGTTGACGGGTTTTCTTGGTTAACTCGCGCAGATATTGAAAAATTTAACGTTCACGATATATCAGACGAATCCGACGTCGGATATATTTTGGAAGTTGATCTGCATTACCCACTAGAACTACATTCTACCCACAACGATTTACCATTTTGCCCAGAAAATATTTTGCCCCCTAGAGCGAAGTACAAACAAACGAAATTAATTCCAAATTTATACGATAAATCAAAATATGTAATTCATTATCGAAATTTGAAACAATGTTTAAAACATGGACTCGTACTCACACATGTTCATCGCATTCTTAAGTTCAATCAAAAACCGTGGTTACGCGACTACATCGATTTAAATACGAGAATGCGGAATAAAGCTACGAATAGTTTCGAAAAAGATTTCTTCAAGTTAATGAACAATGGCGTATTTGGTAAGACTATGGAGAATGTGGATAAACGAAAAATACTGAAATTGTTAACACACTGGGAAAATTACGGTCGACGTCGTGGATTAGAAAGTTTCATAACGCAGCCTCACTTTAAAAAATTTACCCAATTCAGTCATACTTTATTTGCAGTTGAAATGTCAAAAGTTTCAGTAGTTTATAACAAACCAATTTATGTGGGGTTTACCATTCTAGACGTTTCTAAAATAGTAATGTATCGTTTCTTCTATGACATTTTACGCGCCCATTATGGAAAAAATGTTTCATTGTTGTATACTGACACCGATTCGTTTATTTTGGAGGTTAAAACTCACGACTTGTATGAACATATGAGAAACAATTTAAACGAATACGATACCTCTAATTATAAAAATAATCTACACGGCGTAATCACAACTCCTTCTATAGTTGGCAAAATGAAAGACGAATATGCGGGTAAAGCTATTCATCTATTTTATGGTGCGGGTGCGAAATCGTATTGTGTAAAAACTGAGGATGACGTAATTAAGAAAGCGAAAGGTGTGAAAAAAATTACCATTAAAAAAGATTTGAGCGAATTCGATTATAAATGTGTAGCTGAACAAACGGATAAAAAAGTTTTTTGCAAAATGTTGGTTTTTAAATCAACTTTGCATGATATATACACTGAATTAGTAAATAAAATCGGACTAAGTTCGTATGATGACAAACGTTTCGTAATACCCAACACTTGTGATACGTTAGCGTGGGGTCATAGGGATATTCGTAGGTATGAAAACTATATCGATCTTGACAATATACTTCAAAATCCTAACGTTTTATATGATGATGACTCAATGGACATAAGTGACGAACTTTTAGATGGATTGATTAAAGCTTTTGAAAGCACATCATAATTTTGTACATATTCGCTTATTCACATCATACTTCCCAGTTACCACCACACTCCAGCATACTTACCAATCACCATTTAACTTCGGTGTATATTATCACCCATAATCCACTCATTTACTAAATACATACTTAAATGTTTTGTATTTTCACCTGCTTTATAATGTTGTTAATATTTTCACCTGCTTTATAATGTTGTTAATATTTTTTAATTACCTTTTTTTTTTGTATTTTCACCACCACACTCCAGCATACTTACCATTTAACTTCGGTGTATATTATCACCCACAATCCACTCATTTACTAAATACATACCTTAATATGCTTAATTTGTAACGTAAGGGTGCTTAAATGTTTTGTATTTTCACCTGCTTTATAATGTTGTTAATATTTTTTTTGTATTTTCATGTTTCATAACGTTTCATTGTAATTTATTTTGTATGTGAGGGCAAATATATAGAAAAAAAATATATATATAAAAAAGAAATGTTTTTATTAAATAGTCAATTTTTGATTAATGGATTACATAGTTGTTATACAAGTGATAAACATTAGATAAAGCGCAATGACATAATGATTGCGTGTGATATTTGCAAGACGCTTCTAGTAAAGGGACAGCTGGTTGTTCTTCAATTTCAAAAACTGGTTTCTTGAGAATGGTTCTAATGTAATCAGCTTTCTCCTTACCTTTAACGTAGACGTCATCCGATGTACGTATCGTTTCGCGAAGTATTTTCGGAAACAAGAATACCTGTGTGTAACCTTCATCCCATCGAATAAAATGATGATTGTGAATCAAGTAGTGTGCCTGTCGTTGATAGGTGGCATCCAAACCGGTCCAAGGAAAAGGTGGTTTAAAGACAAAGTGAGCTATCTGATTCCCATCGTACACTGCTAATTCTTTAGGGGTGAAGTGTTTCGCAGAAGTATAGAAACCTTGTATATCTACTATGACAACCATGGTACTAACGTAGAATCATTAAACGGTGAATCTTTTATAGCTACAGTTGTCTAACTGCTTTGGTTAATGCATTGTAAGTAAAAACCTTATCGTGAAGAATCAAACACATCGCTGTGGTATTAGCGGCAACGTTGGCCGACGTGTCGAATTCTACTCGAAGCACGACAGCTTTCGAGTTCAAAGAATCTTTTTGATGTGAGCAATCTATTACTATTAACGGTGCATTTTGTTTGAACTGGTCAGGGGTTAGCAAAGGTTGACCTTCAGTTTCGTAGTAGGACGATTGAAATGCTGCGTACATTTCATACAAACTGGCGTATCGGTTATTTAAGTAATTAATATTCAGATTATCGTATGGGTAACGTTCCGTATTAAGAAATACACGAACATTTTCAATACCACATTGGTCGAATTTACTCATGTCTTGATTGACTTTACCATCTCTCCCCGTTTGAAATCCTAATATAATGTATCTAGGAGTTTCTAAGCTAGTGGCCGTTTTTATTGCCCACGTGTGTTTATCGGTCTGTGGAAGAGCTGGATAAACGTGAGTTTCCCAACTCCTAAACGCAACTTGGGTGTTTATATTTTTGTCAATGTACTTAGTGAGTGCTAATTCCTCTGCAAGCGCCGGCAATATATGGGGTACTTTCCAATAAATTTTTTCAATGTCAACCTTCAAAGCCTCGTCGGCAGTTGCAGAATACACGGCGTCTGTATCTGAATTGCTGCGTATTAATACGAGTTCTTGTCGTATATTTAGCACGACTTTTCGATAATCTTCCGCAAATCCGAGGAGCATTCCCAAAGGAAGGCAAACGTTAAAATGTCCCGTAGGGCTTACAATTGTACTATTGGTTGTGGGAAACCATCCAGAATTTTCATATCTCGCAGCATCATTTGGTGTAAGAGATATTAAACCCTTCATGGTGGTGGTCAACCCTACCTTACTAATAGAATCGACCACAACGCCGTTCATCTCGTAACGAATTTCGCTAAATAAAAATGCGATTCCATTGTTAATGAAACGGGCTCCTAATGATACCGTGTTATCTTGTCGCAACAATTTTCCCTCAATATAGAGGTGACTTTGAGAAGGTAAGGTGCACATGTCTTCTTGAATAGGAATCCGAATTTCGTCATTGTTTCCAAATCGTGTGGTATAAGGTTGATGAGTATGAAGTTCCGAGTTGATAATAGCGTTGTCAACACGAACCGATTCGTTAACGTTCAAGACGCTCATTGTATAACGGTGAAACCGAGACTTCGCAAATAGGACTTGTTGGCAGCTGTTAATTGTTGAAGCGAACTACGCTTACTGGTCCAAAAAGAACGAGGTTGACGCTTTTTATAACAGGGTTTGGGGTAATCCTTGTCACACTTGCACGCACAAGAACTATAGCGGTTCACCATGTTTTTTCCTCAAATGTAATCCTATCGTGATCACTTCTCCGTTGAAATTAACAGCGTCACCATCTTGATCGAGTATTTTAAGCGTAATGTTGGAAAGTGTGGAAACGTTAATAGGTAAATAAATTACACTAAGAGGTCGCTCGATTATTTTATATCCCGCGGGCACACTAGGAAAAAACTGGTGGATTGTATGAGCCGGTACACCATTTTTAAAGTTTCCCGTAGTAATACTACAGTCAATTAACAACGAATTAATTTTTAGAATGTTAATTGGATTACGAGAAGTGTGAGTAACACGTGAACTAAGCGTTTCTGTACCGAACCCTAAAAGTTCTCCTATTGAATCTTTTATCGCAAAATCAATTGGTTGACTGGCTTTAAGAACTGATTGCATGGTGTTGTTATTAGCTTGAAGCTCGACATAATCTCCAGCCGTTCGTTCAATTTGAGAATTTATGTAATTATTAATATCAGTTATTTCGTAGCAACCCGGTGGTATTGTAATAGTTTTTTCTCCAAATTTTACTTTATTGTTTTTAGATGTGACGTTATGAATACTATTGTAAGTTTCAAAGTTGGTTAGTCCCATTACATATTCCTCTTCAAGTAATATAGGAGGGCGAAAAAAGGCGCTTAAGGTCGACGTTGTACCCGTAAATGTAAAGGTATAAGACATTTCACCTTAACGATATAGATGTTACTGACTTAATAACGATGTGTTATTGTATAAAAAACTCAATACTAAATGACCGCAATTATAAGTATTAAGAAGTTGTAATTGGTTGAAGTTGTATGTAATAGTGTTTTCGCTACCATCGCTCCGAAAATAATGTATCACCTCGTGAGGAGGTTTTACACGCCCTAGACTATCAAAATATGAAATAGTGTTGCCTCGCTTAACGTACGCTGTCCAATGCGTACCCACGCTGTTTTCATCATCTAGATTTATTATACCACTTTCGTAACGATGTATTGACTTTGGTAAACAATCTCTCATAAAAATTCCTCTAAAATGTGGTATTTTTAACTTCCCGGTATATTTCGATAGATCGCGATCGGTTAAAGGGCGACGTGGTAGCTTTATTGGAAGTTTTTTTGGTATGGATTTAGATAAAGGCCTAGACCTTTTTTATGAGGTTTTATATATATTCCTTTTCCTATTACTGCCGCTTCCATTACTTGATTATGTCGTTTGCTTTCTTCTAGTTGTTTTGCAGCATTGTTTGCATTTGTTACCGCTTTTGCAACAGCCGCAGCTCCACCTCCCAAAGAACCCAATGCTCCCAATGCAGCAAAGAGTGGAATTAGAGGAACAAGTCCACCGGTTTTGGGTATAGGTAAAATGCGATGCTTGGGTGGTCTAATACTCTTCTTCTTCAAAACTTTCATAGCACGCTGAACGCTTGCTTTTAAATTTGAATTGATTTTACCCCCTATACGTTTTTTAGCTAATCGAATGGCGGCGTTAAAAGACAAGGCAGAGGCTCGTTTTTTCATGTGACGTTTTTTCATACCCATATCTAATGTTCTTTTACCTTTCATAATACCAGCTATAGTAAGAGCGGCTGTTTTCTCTCCAACGGTGGCGTCTTTTGATCGAAACCTTTCCCACGCTTTTTGTTGCAACGTTTTGTCGGCAACGTGACGATCACCGAGATTATTCGATTTTGAATAAGCTATATCGTGTTCTTTGCAGGCTTCATCTAATAGATTAATTCCTTTATCGCCCCGAGCAAGCCTCTTTTGTAAACGAGTTCCGGGACCGCAATATCGATATCCGGGTAAATGTAATTCAACGGGTAAATTATTAATTAAGGAATTAATTAAGCCCGCCCCTTTTTTAATTTTTTTCTTAGTAGTGCAAATAAAGGTCATACCTTGATGATTATAACACGACTAAGCGAAATATATGTTGTTTGTGAATATATACTTCAAAATATTGCGGTTATTGGTTAGTAGTGTAATGTCCACCATACGTTTTAAACCTCAACGAACGTTACTACCTATAAAAAACTACGATACATGTTCTCCCGTGAAGCAATATTCTAAGCACAGCAATCTGTTGAAAGGTGGTTGTAAACGCGGTATTATCGTTGGTCCTTCAGGATGTGGTAAAACCAACGTAATGATAGCACTGTTAGAACACCCTAACGGATTGAGATTTGAGAATGTATACGTGTATTGTAAATCTCTTAATCAGCCGAAATACGAATATTTACGCAAATTATTAGACCCACTTACAGAAATCCAATATTTTGAATACAATGATAATAGCGATGTAGTACAACCAAGCGATTCACAACCGAATTCCGTTATGATTTTCGACGACGTTGCTTGTCATAAACAAAACCAAATAAGAGACCACTTTTGTTTTGGTAGACATAAAAATAACGATTGCTTTTACCTTTGTCAAACGTATTCGGCTATTCCTAAACAATTAATTAGAGACAACGCGAATCTGATAGTGCTATTTCAGCAGGATCAAACCAATTTAAAGCATGTTTACGACGATCACGTTAACGTTGATATGTCATTTGATCGTTTTAAAACTTTATGCGCTCATTGTTGGAGCGATAAATACGGATTTCTAGTTATCGATAAAGAAAATGACCCAACCTCTGGTCGGTATAGAAAAGGATTCGATTCTTACATGGTGCTATAAATGAGAACACAACACTGTGTAAAATGTAGTCCTAATGGAACCACGTTTAGTAAGGGACCTTCTCGAAGCGAGAAAATCTGTGAAGCACAAATATACAACATTGCAACGAGACAGATCGTTGGCGGATCGAGATGCCGAACGACACTTTAAGCCTATTACTCAACCACTAAAACAATTGCTTACTCACACTCAGTTGGGAAGTGTTAAACTAGAAAATGTCAAAAAAGAAAATGAAACATACGATACCGAAGAGCCTCCTACACCCGTTTTTGACACCCCACAAAAAACTTCGACTTCTTACCGGATACCTAAAAACCTTTTGCGTGAATTCAATGAACCCCAATATTTAGATACAAGCGTGCTTATCGACCATACACGCGACTCTAACGAACCACCAATTCCTACTTTAGATGAGATAAGAGCTGAGCTATCTAAAACCGCAACCAGTCCTGCACCAGTCCTGCATTTGAAGAATACTTAGATCAATATGAAGGATTGGCGAAGATTTATGTAGAAGATATGTTCAGATCTGGAGATAACGAATTTGATCATCGGTATGGAGTTCGGTATAGTCCTAGAGCTAACAAATTTTACGTAGGAGATTCAGAGTTATACTTTAATAAACAAGATTTTGTTCTCACGCAACCTACGGGAGATCAACAACACTATTCGGGAACACCAGGACTCTACGAATTGTTGTTTAAAAGAAACCCGCTCGGATTCAAAACCAAGGACGAATCTAACTACCGCGATATTTTACTGAGGACTAATGCTGCGCGACGTAATTACAACGCGGAAGAACAAATCTTAGGAACCGGCAAAAAATACAGTAACATTATTAAACCGCTCGTAAATCCTAATCCTATTAGATCATCATCATCACATGTACCGGTAGTTCCGCGTTTGCGCACTACATCTGTTAGTACAAGAAAAGGAAAAGGTGTAGAAATGTTGCATTTAAACAACAACAAAATTGAATTTATACCTTGGAAAGATCCAAACAAGTTAGTTGAATGGTTAAAACTTTTATTAGGATCTCAATCTGCCGGCAACACTAACAATCACAACGAAATTATATATATAGTAGACGAATTACGAACTGCTAAAATAATAAAATAAGGTGGGACTTATTGAATAAATGTTGAAATCGTACTATGATTCAATCATTATTAACCCAGCATGAGTATTGATAAGTTCGGTAGACACATCCAATATCGTTCAAAATCAGACGAGGTGTCGTCGCTTACGTACGAATCACGTTTGTGGTTCGTGGGACAGCAAGTAAAAGACACGCCAGTTATTAAGTGGGCGACCACCACTGACACACCAGAAGTAT